CGTTAAACTTTGCTCGGGTGTTAGACCTCCGTGCAGAACTTCTGCCCACGTGCGTCGTGCTTTCTCTGGCTCTGAGGGTTTCTGTCCTTTTTTCCCCGTTGGACAGCTTTGTGGTGGTAAGCTAGAGACAACACTGGAAGAAGGCGATGAATTAGCTGTGTTCTTTGAAAGAGCAGAGAAGGCGGCTGCTCGCTGAATACACTTTCATAATGCTGAAAGCTCTCCCTTTATTATAACTTCCTTGTATTTTCACTGATTTGCTGATTATATTATGTACTTAGACGGTGTTGATCTGGGACACGTAAGGACGTGCGTTAGCAGATGCAAGGGAAAGCTTGGAGTAACTCTTCAAGAACAAGCAAAGTTCCTCGTAGAGCTCCGTCTTCAGGGAAACATTGGCCCCATCGCTACTTAACGTCCCACATGGGTTGAATTTCCAAACACTGGGGTCTGCATAGAGCTGTGTTTTACCTGTTTTTTAGGTTTTACCCTCTTTTTATGCCTTTAGAAGGGAGGGTGCTTGAGGATTATTGACCTTGAGGACTGCAAATGACGTAGCCCTGAAAATTCGGCTTGCTCTTAGAATTACTGGCCTACCTGACGGGCATAGGTTTATTAATCTTTATAAAAAGTGATATTTCCACTTGTGACCTTACATCTGGGCCTTTAAGATTAAATAATTGAAACAGAAGGAAAGTAGATTAATTTTAATTTGCTTCCGCTCCGTTAAACTTGCGGGAACTTGGGGAGCTCTGCTAAAAGCCAAGAACGCTGCTTTCAACTTGCGCCTGGCAGTGCACGCCATACGGTGCTCCTCTGCTGAGATTAATTTCAAATAAAACTTACCTGGACAAACAGATACGTATTTCATATACGCTAATGTGTAATTACGCAAAATATCCGTCCTGTCATTTGCCTTTTCCGGTTGAGTGCTGTACGTACGGGTCTGATCCCAGCCGTATGGTTGAACATCAGCGGAGGGTTTGGTCAACGCTCAACCGAGTATAAACTCGTAGGTAGGGCTCCGAGAAGAACCTTAGCTAATCTACCAGACCTTTAGATGGTTTTAGTCCCCGTAGTTTAATTTCTTCGTTAAAATTATTAGTTTAAGTCAGATATCAGGCTCATTTGCAAGAAGCAAAATTTGTACGTAGTAAGTAGCTAAGTTAGAAAGCTGAGTCTAACCCTGTCTGTCCGGTGAGGTTCGTGTCGCACGCTCGCCGCTGTCCGCCGTTGGGTCGGCCTCGTGCACCGCGGCGGTAACGGTGGCCCAGGTCACCTCCTCCTCCTCCAAACGCTGGCCCGCAGTCCTTGTTTCTTTTCGAAGGCGCTTTGACCCGGCGCTGCAGTTCTTGTACAAGAAAGTCCGTGACAGCCAGGCGCTGGGGAGGATCCACCGGATATCGGCGACCAGCAGCATATATCCAGCAGCGCCCCTCAGCTTCCTGCAGACATCAGGTACTCGGCAGCTTGCTTCGGAAAAGTTCGTTCCCAAAGGACTTGGAAATGTTTCCCGCCCTGTGTTCTGGTGGGAAGTCCCCTGTTTGTGTCGCCTTAAGATGCATGGGGTTTCTTTTGAGGAGCATGTTCTTTCGAGGAGCATGTTCTTTCGAGGAGCATGTTCTTTCGAGGAGCATGTTCTTTCGAGGAGCATGTTCTTTACCAATTTTTGGGTTTGTTGCGTTTTTCTGTTTGCTTTTAGTATGATGTTCTTCGCTGTAGGGGGCTTTTTATATCGATCTCAGTGCAGCTCAGAAATGTGCATTGCCTGTGAGTTTTAAGTGTGGAGGCCTTAACGCCCGGTTTTGCTTCTTCCAGGTGGAATTTTTTATAACGCTGCTGTGCACGATATAGACATGATCAGTTTGTTGTTGGGAGAGAGCGCGCCAGATACAATATTCTCACTGGGGCACGCATTCTGTGCAGGTAAGAATGAATCTTTGGATAGTTTGTTGTGTAGCTCTGGACTTCAGTCCTGAAAATGGGAAGAAAGAATGGACGAGAGCACGGTAGCCGTGACAGAATCCTTCCATCGTGGAACGGCTGAAAAAATAGTTCTGGTGAGAAGGAAGGCGAGTTTCTCCAAGAAGTTGTTGTAGACGGGAAATTTAGGGATGATTTCGGAATTTTGTCCATCCCCGCTGATGCGAAGCGGTTGCTGTAGGGGTACCGCTGAACTCCACCCCCTGTGGCAATCAGGGATATCAGGATTGCCCTTTGAACACCAGGAGATCTTGAGCAAAGCTCTGCGCTTGCAGAATGCCAAGGCAGTCCTTTTCAGTTCTTTGCTTCCTCCGATTTCTCTGGCTCAGTTAAAAGCTGCGAATTTACTCTGGATTGTGTCAAGCTGAGGGGCACGCTCTGGGTTACCAGGCGAATTTAAGCTAACCGTAAAACTGGGAGCTGCCATTTTTGAAATGGAAATGCAAAGTTTTAATTAAGGTAATTGCAGCTGCCGCCAACCTCGGCTGGCTGTTGTTAGAAGGTGTCGGATGCGATGTTATAATCTACGGTAAAGCATTGAAATGCCAACAAACAAAGTGCCCCGGGGAGGGCTTTGTACCATCTGCCTCCTTCCAGCCACGTGCTGGAAGTTGCCTGATCCTGGTTGTCCTCAGCTGCAAAGGCAGATGTGTTCGGAGGAAGAAGTGGAAGCCTTCCCTAGGGAGCGCCAGGGGCTGGGGAGGCGGAGTCCAGGCCCCGGGGCTGTGTTTCTGCAGAGCTGCTTGCTCTCCATCAGAAGGGCCGTACCGGTCCAGCGGCTGGCGTACGTTGCAGAAAGCGCTTTGCTGTCGCTGCCGGTTCCCGTGTGAAGGTATCGGAGAGCCAGCGGCGCCTCTCCGAGGAGGAAGAGCGCGTTGTAGCCGTAGCGCTGCCGGTTTGCTGTTCCTGGTGTGAGTGAGTGCCTTTTCTGTCACTCAGATATGGCCTGCTTGAAGGATGCAGACACTGTAGCGGTCAGCATGAAATTCCCTAGCGGAGCAATTGTTACTTTGGACGTCAGTCAGCACTGCACTAAAAGCTGTGATCAGAGACTAGAGGTGCGTTCTTACTTTTAAGTCAAGCCTGTCGCCACGCCGCAGGCCAGCGCGGGTCCTACCCCGTGCGTGTTCCCCGGGGCGCGCGTTGTGCCCCCCGCGCACGCCCGCAGGCACGTTTCGCAGGACACCCCCGTGCCTCGGCGGCAGTGGGCTGCTTGCGTGTGTTTCATCTGCAATCCGCGCTCTCCTGTGGCTCCCAAATTTTGCCTCTGTTCACTGTACCCTGTGGGGGCTATAAGCTGCATGTGACCGCGCCGGAGCAGGAACGGGGGGGCCAGCTCTCCCGAGGCTGAAATGTTGTCGCACGGTTCCTCTGTTGTCTTCCCAGGGTGTTTTTAGGTCTATAGCAAGCCCAGAGTTAAGGATGCGGAAGGGGAAGGAAAGTGTAAACTCAGAGGCAAATTGTAAATTCCTCAAGTCATGGATTGTACCAGATGCGTGGGCTGGATTTGGGGAGCAATTTCTGTTAAATACTTGAAAAAGGAGCTTGGCTCAGGTGGGGAAAAAAAAAAAGTGGATAAGCACATAAGCAGAAGCCACTGTACTCTGCCTCGTAGCTGGCATTTTCCGTCGTGTCCGACCCGTACGAGGGGGACATCAGTGGGAACTCCTCATTTTAGAAGCAACTTTTTTACTTGGTTGTACAAGCCAGGGCTTCTGTAGACTGGCCAGGCGTTGGAGATGGAAAGCTGACGACTTAAACACTTTGTTCTCTTCCCCGTTTGCTGCCTCCCTGCAGGTCCACGGTTCTCAAGGGACGTTACGGGTAGATAACCAGAATCCCCTGGGGATCACAGAGCACGGGACTTCGGTATCCCTATACTCACAGACCCAAGCCGATCGCTACAGAGATGCGCACAGGGAGCTCTTTCGACACTTTCTGAGAACCCTGAAAGGTAGGAGGAAGCTTGCATTAATGGCTAGCGTTGCTTTGGGTTTGCTTTCAGCGAAATCTTCCTTCGGAAGCTGTTCCAACAGCAGTTGCAGTTTGGTGTTTGTGTCTGAAATCCCCAAAAGAAACGAGTGGGTGTGAAAACCAGGAGTGAGATTCGTCGTGGTTGAGTTGAAGCCGGTGTTGCGCAGGCGGTGAGCGAGCTCCCTGTAAGCCAGCGCGGGGGTGCACGGGCTGGTCTGCCCCCCTGACGAGCACTGGGCTCCTCAGCGGAGGCGTCGTGAGCCCGACAGCACGTGGAGCTCGGTCAAAACGCGCGTGGAGCGGTCAGCCCCAGGCAGAGCCGACAGCTCGATGGAAGTGCAAGCTTTCAGGAAATGAAAATGAAAGTCTGTTTTGTTGGGGGGGGGGGGGGGGGGCGCTGCTTCTCTCGCTTTCACATCAGCGAGATGGGTGAGGGACAGAGTGTTGATCTGAAACTGTGTTCTGAGAAGAAATGAAAATGGGGAGGGAAAATTACGTTGGCCCTTACCATCATTTGTGGAGAAAGCAGCTGCTTAGAACAGCAAGGAGACCCTCATCTCCAGTCCTGGCTGCACAGAAGGGATAAAAATATTTGTGTTCTGCTGGCTGCATTGACAAAAATACAGGATTTTAGCCACAGGGCAGGAAGGAGAGGGGGCTGAAGCTTTTGTTTTAAAACCTGAGGCCCCAGCTCCGGGAGCTGAAGCGGGATGCCACGGCGGGCAGCGACGTGCTGGAAGGCAGAGCGGGAGCTAATACGGGTTTGATCCAGTGCTTCGTTCCTGTCCCCGCAGGCAAGGAGCCCCCCGTGATAACCAAAGAGCAGTTCCTCTGGACGATTCAGGTCGCCGCAGCTGCCGAGCAGTCCTGGAGAAACGGATCCGCCGTTGACTTGCGCAACGAAGCAATAGATTCGTCTGTAATCAAGACAGAGATAATGTGATGCGCGCTCCTGTTTTCCGAGGCGAAGGATAACCGCTAAGCTGTGCTACGGTGAGGTCTGCCCACCTCGTGATGTCTCCACTGTAACCTTAAAATAAGACTTGCGGTTTTGACGTTTCTGCTGGGAATGCCCAGAAGACGGAGGCACTTTTGAACCAGAAGCGCTCGGCGCCGAGGCTGCGGATGTTTCTTAGGGCGTCAGCCAGAGCCCTGGGCAGCTTCGTCCAGGCGGCTTCTCCTCCTGGAGAGCTCTGGCTGTGGAGCTCTGTTTTCCTGGGAGAAGACCGATGCTCCTCGGGCCGTGGCGAGGTGGTGTAGGCCACCGCCAGCCGTGACGGGGGCGGTGCAAGTGGGTGGCTTCCCTGGCAGCTTCGCAAGCGAGATGACGTGATGCTCAAAAAAATATGGGAGCACCCGTCTGGTCCACGCTCATTTCCCTGCAATATGAGCAGGAACGTGACTTCTGTGCGGAACTCACCTCTGGGCCTCCCTATTTATTGTTTTGGTTTTACTGGGTTTTCTAAATCTTTTTGGAAAGAAGTTACCGTCTGATTTCCTTGGGGGGTGAGGAAAAGAAATGGAAAGGCAGGGAGGGGAACCTCCGACCGTTGTGACGCTAGAGAGACGAGAGACTTCGTAGTAAGGCCATAAATTAGGGCCGTTCCGTAGAGGAGCAACACACGTGGGCATTTCAGTACTGGACACTGCATGGTTAAAGGGTTTTCTCCAGGCTGCAGCCTGTGAATTTGCACAGGGGCCCTGTCCGGTGTCTGGGGCTGAGCCCGCAGCCGGGCTGAGCGCGGGCTGGGTCGCTCGGGGCGGCAGCGAGGTCGCTGGCGGGAGGCTCTTGTTTTCCTCACTTAGATGCAAACGCCGTATGTTAACGTTTTAGTAGCAAAATGAACTCATAATCGTGTTCTCTGAGTGTAGGAAGGGCATCTGATTGTCTGTTCTAAAGGTATTTTTTTTTACAGTCCAGCAAATTTTATAATATCCACTGCAGGAAAAGATAGTGCCTTCGACACCAGGCAAGTCTGCTTCTGAGCCAGGTTCTGTCCCTTTTTACTCCTGTGCTGAGCCTATCGCAGACGTAGAGATGTTACTGTTCTCTGTCTCTCACGCCCGTTTTCAGGATCTCCCGAAGGCTTTTTTTACTCTGTTAAAACAACGTTCTTGCCTTGAGTGCCAGTTTATAAACGACGCTTCTTGCGAGGTTCAGTTCAATCCATTTCCAGTTCCTACATATGGAGTATGTATCACTAAAAGTAGAAATAGCGGTGACGTTTATAACCGAAGACAATTCTCATGTGGAAATTGTTTTTAACAGTGTAATTTTTCAAACTCAGAAGAGCTAAGTCTTAATGATAAAATTTGCTACCTGTTTCATTCTTGATTCCTAGTCGTTTATTGAGGGGGGAGGGGGAATTTTACCTATAGCACTTTTATTAGTGGCTGAGGTTTCTTTTCGTTTTGGTGGGGTTTCAAGGCTGGCGTGACTCCTGTGGGGCGTGCTTGACGAAGCAAAGCAACCTCAGGCCCTTCGAGGCCTTAGACTTTAAGGCTTACGCGGGTGTAGGAGGGCGCTTCCCGTACAATTGAAGCAAGACTTGAGTTGCCAGATGTTGTAATTCCCACTGTGTGCTTTTATTGTGTTACCAAAAAAAAAAAAAAAGAGAAAGCACAGCTATAAAAATAACACATTTTCCAAAGATAACGTTACAAAAAATACCAGGTACCATGGTTGGAGCCTGTCAGTCAATACTGCCCGAAGAAGCCGGAGTTAACATGGAAACACGGGCGATTGTTTCAAAACCTTTAAAGCATTAAAGTGCTTTAAGGAGCCGTTGTCTTAGGAGAGGTTCACATTTCGGCAGTGCTGGTGGAGCCGGGCTCCTAACGGGTGCAGTGCAGGGGGGTGCGATGGCTGGGGGAGCTGGGCAGAGCCCCTCGCCGGAGGGAGAGGAGGCTGCCCCGCGCGCCGAAGGCTCCGAGCTGCTTTGGGGACACCAAGAGGAGGGCGACGGTGGGAGGACCTGGGACGCGGGGCTGCGGCGAGGGCACGTGCAGCGGTCGCTCTCCCCGCGCTCCTCCCTTCGAGCGGGGACGAGAGGGCGGCGCGTCTGCGGGAGCCCGGCGCAGGGGGGGCCCGGGCT